GAAGGGTGGAGTCATACAGTAGAAAGAGCTCGGGATCTGAACTCTGGAGTCAGACCTCAGTGGCTCTGCTACTTTGTAGCTGTGTGACCTTAAGGCAATCCCTTAACCTCTCTGGGCCTCAGGCTATAAAAATGGAACACTCCTATCATATGAGATGAAGAGGAATAAGAGAGAGGATGTTCCAGTGCTTGGAATATGATAGGTGGTTCACAACATTCATTTGTTCAGTCATTCATTAATTCAGAACACTGTTACTGGGCATGTGCTGTGGGCCTGGCACTCTGTGTGCTCTGTCCTTTAAAAAGGACGGACAGGCACCTGGTAGATTCCTCCTCCCCCCCCTTCCTTCCTGAGGACGGTAGTTCCTGCAGCGGATATTTAATAATAGAGTCCAAGTTGCTAAGGGGAGATAGGGCGCGGCAGGGAACTCGGGGGTGCAAGGACACCATATGAAGAAAAGGCTTCCTCCATCCATCTGTGTCCGAGCGACTCCAGGGCCCCTCCAGTCACTGACAGGGCCCCATCTCCTCCAACCACACTCTTAGCAGGAGCTCTCCAGGGCCACATGGCTCAGCTGAGAAATTATCACACCTTTTTCACTGTGGTGGAACCGAGTCACTCCAGTGCCCTAGGTCTGCATTTAAAAGAGCAGCAGAGGATGGTTTAATGTCAGTGACATTAGTCAAATGGCCCATGGCCCCTGCGCTCACCAACCCTCCGTGCCATTGACAACAATGCACTCATTACACACAGTCCTCAGCAACATGCCTGCTCTTCCTGGCTCTACAGGGCGCTGTGTTTGCATTTTTCTCAGCCTCAGGACCAGTATTTGCATCTCTTCTGTCTCTTAGGAAACTCGTGTGTGTGTGTGTGTGTGTGTGTGTGTGTGTGTGTGCGTGCGTGTTTGCACCATAAATTCAGAGGCTGCAAAGTGGGGATTGAAAAACCTTCATGGGAATTTTCTCTTTGAATCTATGATAATTCTACAACTCTAGCTCGCACTGGATCTAATAACATACACTTGGTCCCATGCTTTCGGTTTTTGAGTCCCAGGCCCCAGTCTTACGGTGTCACAGTCCACGTAAGACTGGCTGTCCAGGGCAGCAGGGTCTGTGTCTCCCGGGCAGGCTGGCAGCTCCATGAGGGCAGCAGCGAGCTCCGCCACCAGACTGGAGGCTCTCCGAGGGCAAGGGCTGCACCTCACCCTGCATGAGACTTTACTCTCAGGCCCAGGCACACAGCCGTGGGGCCAGAAAACAGTGCTGACCGCACTTCGTTATCTTGAAGGGAGTGACCCGCAACTCTGGCTGCTCAGCTGGGATGTCAGACAAACGGGTTCTCCGGTTATCCTCACCTACCCCCTTCACCGGCTGAGAGGGGACGTGTCACCCACACACTTTGGGACATGAGCAAGAAAGATAGAATAAGCAAGTGCAGACGGGGGAGGGAGCGTGGCTTCCTCAGGCCAGCCTAACTGCTTTATCTTCTCCCTCCCCGCTGGGCTGGATCTAAAGGCACGCACGGTCTGGCACCTTCCCCTTGACTGCCCCTAATCCCTCAACTGAAAATAAAATGAAAAACACAAAAAGACCCTTCCGGTGGCACGGCTCAGACACCCCTTTTTCAGAACCCTTATGACTTTCACAGCACCGCAAGGCGGTGAGGGCAAGGATCGGGTCACTCTCATTTTCTACTTTATCCCAGGGCACTTGCCACAATGCCAGGCCACGGGAGATGCTTCACACCTGTTTTGTGCGAATGAGTGAATGTGATTTTCAGGACAGGCTAAGGGTGGACCCCCTCATTCTTTGGAGGCCTCATTCACCCCTGGGAAAGGGCTTCAATCCAAAACATCTGCACACTGTCAGCCTTGTGTGGGAGAAAAGCTATATTCTGGGGTCTTGGGGCTAGAGGGCAGTGTTCACCTATTGGTACAAGCAGAGCAGTGTGTGTGTGTGTGTGTGTGTGTGTGTGTGTGTGTGTGTTACAGTGACTGGAAATTAATAAGCTCTGGCTCCAGAGAGAATTCTAGAAGTCCCTCAAAACAACTTAGCTCATCTTTTCGTGATTCCCTGCTTCTTAAATATGCCGTGAAATGTCCTTCTGCCTATAGGCTGCTGAACAGTCAAGTTTATTTGAAGATTTAAGGTGTTTTTTTTTAATCCAGTAAACTTTATTTATATATAACAACAGTACAAATTGTGTCCTTGGCTTGCAAAATAGGAGTGTTTCATATTTACAATAGGTACACAATAATATATTAGAATAACAAAAACCCTATTTTATTGGAACATTTTAAATACTTAATTTTCTTCCAGTTTTTTTTTTTTTTTAAATTCCACAACACCTGTAAAAACAACAAAACCAGACAACTATCGCTGCATTTCTTAAAAATATATATAACACAGATTCCAGCGCGTCAAGAAGAGGGGGTTTGGGTAGGCAAAGTTGTGGGCAGAGGCGGGTGGGCTCGGGTCCCTAGTCTCATGGTTTAAGGAGCTTGTCCCTTCCTCCCTGACACACCTGAGGACATCTGCTCTGTATGGAGGGGACTTTTCCACCTCGCTCTCCACCTGTGATGCCGGGAAGGCAGGTAAAAAGTCAGGGCCTCGCCTGAAACCCAGAGGATCGCCCGTCTCCTTCAGCCTGGGACGGGAGGCGGGGCCGCGCCGTAGAAAGGGGCGGAGCCGGCCTGAAGGCGGAGCTTCTAGCAGGTGAGGAGGCGGGACGAGGGCGTTTGCGGAAGCCAGAGACTCTTCGGATTGGCTTGCCGGGCTGTCTGTCGGCCTGTGTGACACGCAGCGGTCCTGATCGCTCCTAGGACTTGCCTGGTTCCAGGAGTGAGACTGTCACTGGCGGCATCGCTGAGCCCAGGAGCTGAAACCTCACTCCCGGGGGAAACCGGGGGAAAGGGCCGTGAAAAGAGAGATCTGCGGTGGTGAGGAGGACGATGCCATCTTCTCAGGGCTTCTTCCCGAGGCCCCGAGCTTCACCCCCAGGTCTCCCTGCGGGATCCACTCCTACAGGGATCCTTTTCTCACCCTCAGGCACCGAGCCCCTCTGCCCCAGGCTCAGTTCTTTTCTGCCCGTGGCCAGGCCGCAGGGGTCACTGTGGCCGGGACAGACGCCTCCCCCAGGGCGCCGCCGGCTCAGTATTTACCGGCTGCAGGTAAATGGGGGCAGGTGTGGCAGCTGGGGAGCACCCCGAGATTCATCAGCCACACAGCGCCTCTCAAGCGTTCTCCCCGTGTTCTGCCCAGGCTGGGTTTAGTCTTGCATGCCCGTCTGTTAATTCCGCTGCATGCACAGCAGGGCCAGGGGCCTCGATGGCTATTTCTTGTTCTCATTTGGTGGAAAGGAAGGAAGGCCAGGGGCTCGAGCAGCAGGGAAGTGGCACCACCAGAGACGGTGGCAGTGGACACGAGGGAGGCTCTATCGCCCGAGTAATGTCCCCAGAATAAGGCAGCTGGGTTGGTCGGCTTCCTTCCTTCTTCAGGCGCCCTTTCTAGAAAACTCCTGCCCCCTGCAGGTGGGGAGGGAGAACTGTGCCTGCCAAGTTGGTGGCTGGAACCAGGAGCCTGAAGAAGGTACATTTGCTAGAAGCTCCTTCTCGGTCTTGTTGGTGATTGTTTCTCAGCACATAGAGAAGTGCCTAGAAAATGTTGCAGGTCCGAAGGTTCCCTGAATGAATGAATAAATGAATGTAAAAAAAACAGGTCCCTCGCTCCGGTAACAGCTGATCCATGCTTTCCACGACTGAGCTCTGCAAGCGGTGGATCGGTAATGGTTCTGAGAGACGTGCTGTGGGGAGGGGCAGGGGGGCCACACAGCAGCACCTGACACCATGCCCAGGGCAGGAGGCAGCAGCAGGCCAGCTGGAGTGACTCGCTCCACCAGGATGGACATCTTGTCCATCTCCATGTTGCCAAACACATCTCTGGGGTCCTTTTACTTTTCGAGAGGATTATCTCTTGTGCAGATCAATAAAACAAATGAAGCTGGATTGACTTTCAGGAGAGACTTCCTTCCCTGCCTCCCTCCAAGATGGATGGCTTCATGTGGGGGAGGAGCTGTGACTTTAAATAATATTTATTCTTCACTCAAGGTCAAAATATCTTCAAGTTGGTAATAGTGAAGAGAGAGGACAACCAACTTCTCTCCTCCTTATTCCACAGGGTGGACCCCACTGATTCTTGGTGATCCAAAGTCAAGAATTGGTGGAGGAGGGACAGGTGAGATGTCAGAGAGGGGGCAAGGCTCTATAACCTTTTACCCTTCTGGCCTAGCTTGAGTCTAACCAACTTTTCCTTTTTCTTAATTCTTTTCTCAAGGATGCCCCTCTGCCACTTCCCTTGCCAACCCAATGCTCCAACTCTCTAGTGGAATCCTGAGAAGTGGGACCAAGCCACTCTTGTCATCTCTGGCTCCTCTCCTCTTCTACTTTTCAGTTTGCCCCCCCACCCCCCAATCATTCTCTACATTCTCCAAAAACCTTTAAGGAAGCATCCCCATTGGCAGTGAACAGTCACCAGAAGTAGCTGTTGGGAGGTACCCAGGTGGATGCACAGAGGTAAGGGATGGTTAAGATGCAATTGAGATATCTAACTTGCTTTTACTTCTTGGTGGAGCAAGGTCCTAGATGCCAGAAAAACCTTCATTCAGAGCTCAGAAGTAAAATGAGGTGGGCTGGATTTTTTTTGCATGTGGGTAGCAGGAAGTTCCTTGCTCACATTCCTCTTGCCCATATCTCCTCTCTTCATCTCCATAGATCATGGACTCTGAGCTGATAAACTTTGGGTCTGTGAAGAGTAAACACTTTGGCTTAGAGTGGAAGGCCAGTCATTAGTATTTCTTTCAGGCTGTTAATAGGGCCCAGAGAAACTTCAGCAGAAGAGGATTATCAGAAGAAAGTGGCCTTGGCATGGCTGGTTGTGAATTAAAATGAAAACAAGCAAGTTTCCTGAGTATTTTGCTGAGTGCTTTTTCTTCCCATTTGTCAGCTGCATTCAGGCAAGAAACTGGAGCTGAGACCAGGAGATGTCTGCTGTGTGGTTAGCTCAGTAATCCAAAGCCACACGACAGGGATGGAAGCCAGCCCTCAGCGTCTCCCTCCCCCAGCCCTTTCCTGGGAATCGAATGTGGTCAGCAGAGCCTCTGGAAGTTGGAATTGTTTGGAGGTAAATCAGGGCACAGAGAAGCTGGGGCCCCGAGTTAATTACAGAGGAAATGACTCTGGTCTGGTGTCTCTGGGGATGGCTCTTCCAGTTTCCCAGCATTGCAGCCCCTTGAAAAGTAGGTGGAAAGGGGAGGTTGGTCCTTTCCTGCCTCCCCTCTTCCCACCCCTTTGCCTTTTTCTTGTCGTCCTTCCCCCACACTTCGATGCTGCTTGTAAAGATGCTGGAGCTGGCTGCTTGGGTCCTTGACAATGTGGAAGGCCTGGAAACTTAGATGGCTGTCCTGGCCACCAAGGTGCTGTCGCCAACAGAGTGCTTCCCTCTTGATGACTCCCACTGGCTTCCTTGGGTCCTCTGGACCAGGGTGTGGAGCTTTGGTCTCTTTGTTTGGAAACTATACTCAGGAGAGTTGGTCATCATGGTTTTAGGTGTCAGCAGGAGAGAGCAGGAAAGGAGCCCAGGGAGAAGCCACCCATTTGTCCTTCAAACTCATAAGGACAAGAGAGGCAGAAAGAGAGGCAGAGACAGTCATATGGGGATGCTACAGTCATTTCTCCTGAGCAAGTGGTCCATCAAAAGCTTCCGCGTATGAGCCAAGGGTTGTCTCCCCTCTCCAGGCACAAGAGAATGGAAGTAGAAAATAAATACTGTGGCTTCTTTAACCTATGCTCTTCAAGTATTGCTTGCTGTAAACAGTGTTTGATTTTTGTTTTCTCTTTAATTGTAAAAACCATAGCAGATTGGAATGGAATCTGAAGCCAACTCCCCCCTCCCACCC